CCGTCCCCGGGGTCGGCCTCAACCAGTCCCGGCTCTTCCTCCTCCTCCTGACTGCCGGGGGCTCCCGAGCCGGGCCCAGGACCCGGAGCTCCCGGAGGGGCGCGGGGCCGGGGCGGCTCCTCTTCAGGCTCGGGCTCCGGCAGCAGCTCCCCAGGCTCCAGCTCCTCAGACTCCAGGCCGTTCCCGTAGTCCCCTGCGCCCCCCGGGTCCCCCTCCCCGGCCTCCCCACCGGCCCCGGGCACAAGATGGCGCCGCCGCCCCGGCCCGGAGCCCCGACCGCCCGCAGCCCCCGCTGCTGCTGCCGCCGCCGCCGCCGCCATCGCCGCTCAGACTGGGGCCCGCCGCTCGGCGATTGGAGAACTGAGCCGGCCACGCCGAGGACTCATTAGTCAGTCAGCCTGCCCGTTACCCCGAGCTCGAATACTATTGGGGAATTCTACTTGGCAATCAAACAAGGCCCCACCCCTAAGGCGGGCCACTGTGCCAAATTCTCTGAACCCGGTAGGTGAAATATGCCTGTCAATCAACACATCCCACCTCCTGTCGAGTCCTTAGGTAACAATACGCCCGCACTGTGACGACTTTCCGCTCATCCCCCGCCCATGGGCGGGCCCACAACATGGAGGATGCTCCGCAATTGGCCCCTGACCGGTGAAGTGAAAAGGACCAATCTTCCAAACGCCTCACCGAAGTGGCCCATTCTTGAATGCCTATTGGCTTATGGGATTCGACGGGCTGACACCCGTTGTGCGACAGGTGAACTCTGCTCCCGAAAGGGTTGCCTGGCTTAATGCTAGGGAATTCCTAGACCGGGTGTGGTGGCGTATGCCTTTAATACCAACGCTCAGAAAGCAGAGGCAAGCGGATTTCTGTGAGTTCAAAACTACTCTACAGGGTGAGTTTCCAGGACAGTCAGCACTACACAGAGAAGTAACCTCTAAAAATAAAAAAAGTAAGGATCAACAAACCTCACCAGTCCTTACTCAGACTTGGAGTTGTGTCCCGTTATTCTGCATAGATGACTGTTTTAGACTCTAACCCCTGCTTAGATTAAGCCTGTTTTCTTGCCTAACTTGTTAGAGCATCCTCTTTTTCCTGGCTAGCTGAAGTGTCAAAATTCCTTACCATAGCCTTAGGGCTAGTCTCCACACTGCTCATTCCCCGGGTTTACCTGAGGTTCACAGATTTAGCTCTATAAATGTGCAGTTTCTCGTAAACCAGACCACCTCAGTGAGAATGCCTTCCACCAGCTTTTCCATTCTATCTTGAGACAAGTGGGCCTATTTCCACTGCACACTTAACGATTCTGTGCTACCTCCTAACTAGGTAGTGTGCCTGCAGACAAGGGGTCAAGTCCTGTTTATATTTGTATCCATAAATGGTGATACATTTTTACAGAGTACATGTGATTATTGGATGACTGCAATTTCTAGGTGCAATTTCCTAGCTCCCAAACCCCTTGGAAGACCCCAGAGGAAATTCTCCATGCAGGTTCTCAAGACAGCTCTGCACCTTCAAATAACCATGAGATCTGGCTCTGGATAAGGTAGTAGGATACGCACACTACAGAAGAAATTCCACACATTTATAGAAATTAAAGAACAGAAGTGCTAAATCTGCAAGAGGACTTTTTGTAGACAGACCAAACTACAGTCTGAGGGGGCAGACTCATACAAGCACAACCAAAAAGGTTAACTTGGTTGCAACAGGAGAGTGGGACAAAAAGGAATCCCTTTAAGCAAAGCAAAGTCAGAAGCATGGCTCAGTAGACCCCACTGTTGCATTCCTTACCTCAAGATCTTGGGAGCTGGAAGCAGAGTCAAACTGTTGCTGTGGATTCATCCAAACTAAAGTTGATCACCGAAGTCAGGCACTAAATGAGTTCCAAAGAAAGGTCTCTTATACTGATTCCAACCAATTCAAAATGTGAAGGGCTTGCTGGCACCTAATTTAATTTTAAGCAAGGTAACTAAGGGAGATGCCTTGTGTGGTAATGGTGTTGTTTTGAGGCAGGATCTCACTGACTGACTGACTCTGGCTGGCCTGAAGATCAATTTATATAGTCTAGGATGACCTTAATCTCAAAGAGACCCACCTGCCTTTACTTCTTAAACTCTGGTATTAAAGGTGTGTGCTGCCACACCCATCTATTAAATAAATAACCTTTGCAAAACCATATTCCCCTAAATCCTTTTGATTTAATTTTGTTGTTGTTGTTTGATACAGGATCTCTGAGTAGCCCTGGCTTTCCTTGAACTCCCTCTGTAGACCAGTCTGGCCTCAAACTCAAGGATCCGCCTGCCTCTGCCTCCCAAGTGCTTGGATTAAAGGCATGCGCCACCACCATTGCTGGGCTTTGTTTTTTTGTTTGTTTGTTTGTTTTGTTTTGTTTGAGACTTGGCTGTATTATGTAGTCTGGCCTCAAACCTGAGCTCCTCCTCCTTCAGCTTCCTGAGGTTATCATCTTCACAGTACTGTGATACATGTGTGTAATCTTGGCACTTGAGAAGCTGAAGCAGAGGACAGCCAGAAGTCCCAGGCACAGTGGGATATGCCTGTAATCCCAGCACTGAGGAGGCAGAGGTGAGTGGATCTCTGTGAGTTCGAGGCCAGCTGGTGTACAGATCAAGTTCCAGGACAGCGAGGCCACCGAGAAACCTTGTCTCAAAAACCACAAGAGTTCTTGGTAGTCTACAGAGGACCTGAGTTCAGTTCTTAGCACCCACATGCTCACTCCACCTGTGACTTCAGCTCTATTGAATTCAACACCTTCTGGCCTCATAGGTACTAACACACATGCACATACTCTCTCCCACACATATAGACATTTAAAAAAAAATCTTTTAAAACAAAATACCCTCCAGAGCTAGGTGTGGTAACATAACACACTCCTGAATTCCTAGCACTTGGGGGGTGGGGAAGCAGAAGCATCAGGAGTTCAAGGCCAGCCTCACTTATATTGGCAAGCTGGGGCTAGCCTGGGCTACATGAGACCCTGTCTCAAAAAAAGGGAGTGGGGGGGCTGGGTCCAGAGGCAGGTAGATCTCTTTGAGTTCAAGACCAGCCTGGTCTACATAGTATGTTTCAGGACAGTGAGCTACATAGCTACACAGTGAGATCTTTCCACTTCTGCCTTCCTAAATGCTAGGATTAAAGGCGCTCTCTTACATTTTTAATGAGGCTCCTAGAAAAATGTAAAACTCTTTTTGTAACTTGCATTATATTTTTCTAGACAGTGCTGACATAAGATTTGAAACCTTACACTCTTTTTAAAGACTTACTACTTTTCTATGTTCATATATGTGTGTTTGTGTAGCACTTACATGTAGGAGCCCACAAAAGCCAGAGGGTGTCAGATTCCCGGGAACTGGAGTACAGGTAGTTGTGAGCTGCTCTATAGATGCTGAGATGTGACCCAGGCCCTCTGTAAGAGCAGTAAGCACTTATAATGCTGAGCTATCTGCCCAGCCTTTCGTGTCTATTTTAGAAAGATCCTGGTATCTTCTGATGTAATCTGACCTAGCTTGAATTAACTTCCTAGATCAGACCTTGTACAGCAGTGAGGTAGCATTTAAATGTGAAAGGGCTTCTACCAGGCTGCTTCATTTCAGTTTTGACTGGATAACTTTAAAAACATTTTATTTATATATGGGTCTATGTTCTGATGCTCACAGAAACCAGAGGTGTTTATAATCTGGGGCTGGAGTTACAGGTGGGTTTGAACTATCTGACAGAGATCCTAGGATCTAAACCCTACTCTGCTAATGTGAGCAGCAAGTGCCCTTCACCAACAGCCATTTCTCTACCTCAACTGATTAGCTACCTTTCGCTTTTTTCTTTTTACACTTATTTATTTGAAGGGAACACATGTGTCACCGCAGTTGTGTGAGGTAAGAGGACAACTTGTCAGACTCAGTATACCCTTTCTACCGTCCAAGACTGAACTCGGGTTGCCAGGCATGGTGTCAAGCACTGTTACCCACTAAGTCATCTTGCCAGCTCACGGAATGGCTAATTTCTTGATAAAGGGTCTGTCTATGTAGCCCTGGCTGGCTTAGAACTCACTATGTAGACAGATCAACCTCCAACTTTCAGTGACCCCTCCCATCCGTTGAATGTTGAGATTGCAAGTATATATGCCCTCCACTGAGCTTGATTGGTTAACTTTTTAACATCTTATCTGAAAAACTTGCTTTAAGTTGCTCTATCAGATATTTATATTCATTACCTCCTCAAATCAGAAAATACTGACAGCAGAAAGAACAAAACCTACCCACCAGACAAAACCACAAATGGTATCTTCGTCTGTTCTTGCTGAAGTCTTCATTTAAATAGGGAAGTTCACACAAGTGTGAGTCTTCACACTGTCACACACTATTTTCTAACCTATAGAAGTTTTACAGGAAAATACAAAAAAATTTAAGTGCTAATAGATATCTTCAGTTATACCATAATTCATGGTTTTACTTGTCATCTTAGACATGAGTGTTCCTCTGACCATTTGACTTAAAATTAGAATATCTACATATTTCTACCCTTGATCCTTTTATTTAAAAATAATATCTTTAGACAGGGTTTCATGCATAGGCCAGGCTGGCCTTGAAATTGTAGAGCTGCCTGGTGGCTGTCTCCCTAACTCTAGGATGAAAAGTGTCACCATGCATCTTTCCTCATAGTATTTACTACCTTCTAACATAGTTATGAGATTTATTTGTTTGGTTCCCTACTGGAGTGTAAGAGCAAATGTGAGCTCAGTGTGTCTTCCCATTCTCTTTGCCTGTGAGCCCAGAACTGTGTTAAATACACAGAAAATATCTGGACATTTCTCTAGAGATGAATGATGAATGAAGAGCAACCATGTAGTCCATTATATTATGCTTTCTGGTCAAAATTTCTGTTGTCTCCCTCTGTGTGTGTTGAGCAGGGTCACATATAAGCCACACTGGCACCGATCCTGCCTTATTTCCCAAATGCTGGAATTATAAACTGGCAGCACCACATTCAGCTTTGGGTTGTTTTTTTATTAATTGGTTATTGATTAGTTATTATTTTATGGTTTGTCCCCATAACCACATTTGAGGGTGTTTTTAAATTTTCAAAAAATTCAGCCAGACCCGATGTCACATACCTGGAATCTGAGTCTGAGGCCAGAGTAGGCTACAAGCAAAATCCTATTTCAAAAAATGGAAGAAAAAGCAAACAAAGAAACTTGATGAAGAATATCTATGATCTACCCAATTGCAAGAAACTGTAGGGTTTCAGTTTTGTTCTTTCTCCTGACACTGAGTCTTACTTTGCAGCCAGGTCTGGCTTGAAGCTGACTAGATCTACACTTAAAGTCCTTGTTCCTGAAGTGCAAGAGATTTACAGCATAAGCAAGAACTACCCCAACCCAACCTGTCTACTCCCACAGTGGTCAGAAAGTGTAACTAAGTGTTGCCAACTTTATTAAAAGTGCCATCTGGATGAGTTGCATTTACACAGAACTATATAAAGAAATCAGTCATCTGCCCCTTTGGACAATCTAAAACTTAGTAATCAGATCATTATAAAGTAACATATTAGCCCAAATTATAATGAGGCTGATAAGACAAACCCAAGGCCTTCTGGATCCCCACTTGGTAGTTCTAAAAGGACAAGATATAAACTATTTCAATTCTGTCAACTAAGTATCTTTTCAGGAAACTCTGCCTTCTGAGTAACTAGGTAGCTTTGAATTTCACTGTTTTCCAGATTGCTTTGGTTGCCAAGAAACTCATAGCTGAGTTCACAGCCTAGCTTTTATATTTGAGATAAATACTTAAGAACAACCTCCATGCATTAATTACCCTTTTGTTTTCTATTAATTTGTTTAGAGACAAGGTCTTAAGAAGCCTTAGCTGGCCTTGACCTCACCATATACCTGGGTAGCCTGTCTTCTTATCTCTACCTGACTACTGAGATTGCAGTTATTTGCCACCACACCAAGTAGAATATTTGAGGAGGGGGTTGTTGTGTGTAGGGGACTCCAGATGTACCATATGTGCCTACACCTTTTTGAGGCTGGAGTTGGTATAGAGTTGTTAGGTTTGGGTATTTGGCCAGGGGTGGGGTGGGAGCGATTTTTTTTTTAACCTCTATACTTTCTTTCACAAATCCCTATAACTCAAATTATTTTCCTTACCAAGGTCATGGTCATAAGAAATGACTGGTTTCAGGAAAGTTCTAAAACCCAGGCTGTACGGTATAGAAGTCACAAAACCCTGTTCAGTACTTCTCAATAAATTTCTGGGCTTTATTTATTTATTTTTAATACGACCATTACATATTACACAAAAATAAAAGTCAAATGAACTTGGCATTTATAAATTATTAAATAAAAATACAGGAATATATATTTATATTTATAGAGCTTTTTCTCTTCTTCTAAACTAACCAAATCTGTTCTCCTGCCGTTTATGATTTAAAAAAGTAAAACAGTATATGTATGCCCTAGTGTAAGTGGGGCATAGGATTGATAACTGCAGCACTGAGTGCCCCACTTCCGCTCTTGTCTTGGCCTAAGCAAAGTCCCTATTTGTCCCTTTGGGCTTTGGAGAGCAAGAACATCCTCTCCACCTACTTAATATCTGAAAAATTATATCCATTTCCCTCATTTAAAAAAATGAAATGGATTTAAAAGTTGGGAGCCATATTCAGCCTTCTTGGCCAAGAGTTAATCCCAAGGAACTATATGGCTCTAAAAGAGTCCCTGGTTTTCCCTGACAGAAGAGTCTCTGGGTTTCCACTGGCCCTTAAAACTAAGGGCAGAACAGGTCACATCTCCCCACGGTGGTCCCATTTAAGCTAAGCTTCTGGGAATCCAGACCAAGACCAACCCTTTAGCCTATCATAACACAGCCTCTCCTTCCACCCCTTGTAAAGGCTTGAGAGCAGAGCATGTTGGTAACCTGACCCTGGTCCCTGCTGCTCCTGTTTGCTAAAGGGCCCCAGGAATGCTAATTTGGGTAGGTGTCCCGTGGGAAGGGTAGAGCAGAGAGTCTTCCCTGAACTCGGAGGAGCACAGGCTCCAGATGGAGCTGATGGTCTAGTCAGTGGTTTTCTAACTTTTTTTCAGCAGCAAAGCCCTTACCACAAATAAATCTTACCCTGAACCCCGATACATAAAACAGCTACAAGGGGAGCTGTTCTGTTTGAGGGCAAACTGCCCAGCCCTCCACTCCCTCATCTCCCTAAGGACTCCTGAGGCAACCCCTAGGACACTTCGGGGCTCTGCCAAGCAGTTTGAAAACCACTGGCCTAGTTTGTCCTGAGCAAGTCAGAGCCTCCCACTCCAACTGCTTGCCACACACAGCTCTGAGTTTCTTAGATCATCACCCTCAAAACAGACCAACTGGCACATGCAGTCTCCCACATCCCCCATAGACACTATTAAAAAGTGCAACCTTCTCTCAAAAGCAAACGTCTGGACTAAAACACCTGAGGCCAATTTGGTCCCACATTAGCAAGCACAATATGATGCCACATTCTAGGACCAAGTGAAGAGGCGAGTCGGCTGTGGCCTAGCCAAGCTGGTCAGTGCTCAGGACAGGCAGGTAGGGTTCTAGAGCACTGGGAACAAAGTCAGCATTGAAGAGCAGCAAAGGTAGCACCTTGGAAAGTGCAGCAGTGAGGTCTGGCTCAGGGCATGCATTTGGAGTGAGTAATTTCTCCCTCAAAAGAAAAAGCTAGAGTCTGGATTTGTTCTAGAGGACTGGACTGTGAGTTCTATTGTGACCATCTTTAGCGACTCAAGTGTTAACAACATAACCTATGCAAAGAGCATGGCTTCAAAAGAAAACATGTTAGGTCATGGCAGGTACTCTAGAACCCATATGCCTGGCCCCTGATAAACAGCACCAAAACCCACCACACAGAACAGGCCAGTCAAGGAGTACCTGTCCCCAGCACTCCCAAGGGACTCAAGAGCTGGAATGGTCCTCTCACTGAGACAGTTCAGGAACTAAACTGAATTCTAAGTCAGCATTTATGTCTGTAATCTTCTAAAGGAAAATCAGAGCCCCAATTTAGAGTTTCAGCTGGACAGAGGGGTCCTACAGGCAACACTTTAGGCACCCTTATGCCACCATTGGAGGGGAAGGTGACAGACAAGTCCAACTACCACAGCTTCTACCCACCCAGACACCACAGGCTTATCCTTTGTCAGCCCAGGTGCAAAGATGCACACAAGAGGGGGATGATGAAGAGCAAGGCCAGCTGCAGAGCTCTTCTCTCCAAAGCCAACAACTGTCAGCAGTACCAGAGTCCTAGTCTAGATGCAGTGTTCCTCCCTCAGCCTGGAGGCGTGAGGTAAAGGGAAGGGGCAGAGGGGAAAAGGGCAGTGAACTGGCCCTTGTTCTTGCCACAGCAAGAAGGAATGTTTTCTTGAAGTACCCCATCACCAGATTGGACAAACAGCCCAGCATGCACATGGGCATGCCTGCATGTATGAGCATGCCTGCATGTATGAGTATGCCTGCATGTGCACATGCATAGGTGTGCCCATGCAGCCCACAGCCATTTCATCCAGTCACCTGATCACCAAGCTTCCATTCCAAAGGGAGGTGAATTCTAGGCTCCCTAAATCCCATTCATCTATTAGACATGCAGATCTTTTAAGTAAGTTCACCGTCCTTGGAGCTACAAGCCATGTTCCGGGTAGCTGTGTGCCACCGATATGGACATGATTCCTCCCACCTCCCCCCAAGCCGTGGTATGACTCCACCCTCTGGGTTCCTGGCCTTGAAACATTCTTTAATGTTTCCAACTCATTCTCCCTGCCACCTGCCTGGCATGCTTGGCTCCCACGCACACACTACCTTCCCTTGCCTTTCTCTGTTCCGTGACCATCCAATTTCTTCCAAGGGCATTCTCTACTGTTCCAGCTCTCCTGGCCCCTAGCCACACCTAGCCCCACCTGGCCCTAGACTTTCTCACTTGCTAGCAAAAAAGGCCCCTACAGTTACAAGGGCCCCCAGTGCCACAGCCCCCGTCAGCACTGTCCTCACTGATGCCCAGTTCCCCTCCCGCAGACGCCGTGCCTCCTCCAGGGCCCCGTCCCCGTATAGAGCTGTGAACTCCGCCTGTGGGAGAGAAGGGAAGTAGAGAAAGGAGAAAGGGATATCAGGAAAGGATAGTGGAGAGAAGAGGGAAGGAAGAGTTCCAGTTCCATCCACTGTGAGCACTGTCCCCACACCCAGCTACTCCAGCCAAAGCTCTACTGCCCACAAGCCCCACGGAACCCTCTCCCTGGCTCCTTTGCACTGTCTGCATGAAGTCAACCCCAGCCCTTCCATGGCAATAAAGTTCTGTTCAGAACTGGCATCCTTTGCTAAGACTTGCCTAGCTTTGACCCATCCCTGACTAACCCCACCACCCATGCTATGTATTCAGGGGTCACAACTTTTCTCTGAAGGCTCTCTGTTTATAAAACTCTATATTCGGTCTTCTGCTTGGGACCCTGAAACCCATTCAGCGATTACTGCATGGCAGCCCTGGAGTACCGTTAGCTTGATGCTCTCAGTCTGATTCCACTTAAATAGGGGAACTCAGCCCTTCCCAGCACAACCCCAGCCTCCCATCAGAGGCCCCATTTTCCCATGAAGACCAACTTTGCAGAGGGATTGGGAGAGCAGCAATTGAGAAGCTCCTTACCCAGCCCCCACTGCTGTGGATCCAGTCAGCCAGGCGTGTCTCCAGGTAGGCCACCATCCAATCCTGCACTTGTCCCACCAATGGCTCCATTTCTTTGTTGACACTCTCAGCACACAGGGCAGCCCCAAAGACAAAGAATGCCACAAGACGGCCCCAGTTAGGGCCCCCTTGGAAAAGTTCGTCGGAAACCTGGGTGAAGCGTTGCTGGGCTGAGCCTGGGGTCACATGTAGCTGAGCAGCCAGGTCAGAGAAGGTGCGCCGGAAGCGGGTCTCAAACTCGTCTCCAGCAGCCCGCATGGCTTGGTGCAGAGGGTCGGCTGCTGGGCCTTCCCCAGGGCCAGCTCCACAGACATAACCCTTCTGCCTCAGCTTATACCCTACAAAGTCAGCCACTAGAGCCCGTGTGTCTGGGGTTGAGGCTGGGGTCGCCATCCGGGCGGCTGAAAGGGGCAAGGATGACAGACTGACATAAATATATGGAAAATACTGACAGAGACCAAGAAGGGTCATTTCCTATTTGATCAAGCTCCTGAGATAGGTGAAATGGTCAGAGACCACTGGGGCCTCTGAAATAAGAGCAAAGGATTTAAGTCATGGGGAGGGTCACAGGATAAGCAGCTGGCCACGTATAACATGACAAATTAAGTGTGCAACAGGAAATCCTATTTTTAGACTACTTCAGATTCCTTTCATACGACAACACCAGCTGTATGACACCTCTACACACACACACACACACACACACACACACACATACACACACACACTCCTTTTTGGCTACAGGAAGAGGCTTAAGACCTCCCCAGGAGCATGATGTGAAGATGTTGGCAGAGGCACAAGATAGGGAGGAGACAGGGGCTGAATAGCAACATGGGAAAACCCAAGGGCTGTAATGGGGCAGAAAGGGAGAGGACACTTACCCAGCCTGGATGGCAGCTCTTAGGACCCAGTGCTGGTGGCAGGGAGCTCCCAGCTGAGGCCTTTCATCCTCCCGGCTAGAGTGTAGCCCTGAAAAGGGGAAGGAGAGAGAACTAGGTGGAAAAGGCCAGGGATCCAGGTCTGGCCCGGAAAGAACTGGAACTGCAGCGCCTGGGACTGGGCCCCTACCTCCAACGCTTTGCCAGCTGTGGAGCCGATTCCATGTTTAATGACTGCCCACTCGGGAAACCCGGGACCACGGGCTTCCTGTCGACACCATCTCTACTCCCGGTTCCCCCAAGAGCAGCCCAAAGGCCCAGCTCCTCCCATTCCCCCACCCTTAGCTGGTTTCCAACCCCGCCCGCCCGCCAGCCAGGTTAAAGAATCTCACGGGTCAGGCCGCAGCCGGGATCCGGAATCTGGTAGTTTCCTGGTGGAGTAGCTGGGAGGGAGGGAGGGAGGGAGGGAGGAAGGGAGGAAGGGAAGGAAGGAAGGAGGGAGGAGGGGAGGGCAGGGAGGGAGGAGGGGAGGGCAGGGAGGGAGGGCCCGGCGCCGGGTGATGATGGGACACAGAGATGCGTCCAGAGAGAGGGGCGGGGCTGGGAGGCAGGACTGGGAAGAGCCACAACTCCGGGAAGAGAGGGCCATTGAAGGGCTGTTCAGAGGCCATAGTGACCTGTGCCGGCTGCCTGCTAAGCCCGCAGCGTACCCAGGGAAACACACCCGGCCTCAGCAGCTCAGTGCAAATTCAGCATTTCCGGAAGCTCTCTTCTCTTCATGCACTTGTTGAACTTTCCAGCTAGGATTGCGTGCCTAGGAAAAGAAGAGCAATTCCTATTAAGCTGAGAACAACGCCTTGCCTTTGTGGGACTAGTAGGGACACTAAACACAAAAATTCTTCCCCTCAGGACTTTTAACGCAGTGGGCTCTTCCTGGGCTGGAGTTTCAGCTAGGTGTCAAGGTGGTAGGCCTTGGTTTACTGTGTCCACGAGCAATCTTCATCTTTTGTAATCAGATTGATTTTCTTATAAGTTTTTACCCACCACATGAGTTAATTCTTATTATTTTAAAAAATCAAACAATAAAGGGCACAAAATGATACAAGCTTACTAATCTTACACACCCTCCCTAAATACAGGTTACCAATGTTAAGGTTAATGCCTGTTTTCCAGATTACATATATCTACAACTTACATGTGAATATCTATATTCACTTATACATGAATTATATATACATTTATTCACACATATGTCTATATAAGTATATGCTTTTACATATACATATATAAAATAAATATATATTTATATAACAAATGTATCAATATAAGTATAAAGTATATTTATCAGTATAGTTTATGTAAATATTTTTATATATTCCATATAGATATTTATAATATACACATACATGTATATATAATATATAGATATATACGTATATCTACTATATATGCATATATATGCATATATATATATATATATATATATGCATATATATCGTGTGTGTGTGTGTGTGTGTGTGTATTTTGAGACATGGTTTCTTCTCTGTGTAGCTCTAGCTGTCCTGGAACTCACTCCTATAGAACAGGCTGGCCTCAAACTCACAGAGATCTGCCTGCTTCTACATCAGACATTATGGGATTAAAGGCACGAGGCACCACTGCCCAGCACATAATATATTTCTGTAAAGCAAGTTTTTAGGGCCAAGAAGCTTCATGACTACAGCAGATCCACAGGAGGGCACTCATAAGCAAGCTGATCCTCCCACCTCTCTCCTCAGCCAGGCTCCTGAAGCTTGCCATTTCTTCAGCTCTGGAACACCAGCTAAGGCCAGAAAGAGGCAACCCGATTATGCTTCCTTCCTTCAGTTCTTTCTTGTTGCTTCCCCTTGCTTCTCCCACTAAACCTTGATGCTCCCACTTGTGTGGTCACCAGAGAAGCCACAAGGATCATAGTAGCAATCCATTATCATATTCTCCCTCTCCCTCCCCCTCCCCTCCCCCCCTCTCTGTTCCTTGTAGGTCAGTCTGACCTTGAACTCACAATCTGTCTATCCCAGCTGTCCAGACTGGTGGTACTGTAGGTGTGAGCCACAGATCTTTCTTTGCATGTACAATTTTTGTTCTTACTTTACTCCTTAGGCTGCTTAATTCTTATTCCATGAAAAAGGAAGCTGAGATTTGGAAAGATTAAACCATTTACCCAAATCCACACATCCAAGGAAAGAAGCTACGACTTCTATCTAAATCAGTCTGACCAGTAAGTTTGAACTTTTGATAATGTACTGCCTCAAAATGACCTCCTCTTCCCTTTGGCAGTCAGCACTGTTTTTACAGCTGGAATCCACAGCAATTCTGAGTTCCGGCTCAGTTCTCTACTCTGAGCATACAGCCTGTTCCACTCCTGTACAGTTCTATCATCCTACCTATCCTCATTTCTCCTTTGTTCTTAGACTATCATCCTAGAAGCCCCATTTGTTTTTAGAGACAGATTGTGTTGGGTACAGGAATCACCCACAAACCACATGGACACTGATTTCAATCAAGCAGGGATAGTTTATTGAAAACACACCTTGGGACTGACTGATCAGACTTGGAAGCTGAAACTGTGATCCCAACCGACTAAGCTTTTAAACCTGAAATCCATAAACATCTGTGCCAAGTTATCCCACCACTCAGGATTTAGGGATAGGAATAGTTTTATTCAAAATGGCTATGATACTATCAGAAAGGCAGTGGTTATTTAGACCTTAACAATCTAGTTTAAGGTTTTCATTTGCAATATGGTTTAGCCTAAGACAATGACCAGAAATAAATACTCTTTGGGGGGATTATTTTGCAGTGGGGTCCAGGCTGGCCTGGAACTCATTATGTAGATGAAGATAACCTTGATGAACCTTCTGTACCTCCTGATTAGTGCAGGGATTAAAGGAATGCACCCCACACTGAATTTGTTTTTATTGCTGGTCTTAAGAGACACTAACATATTTCCATCTGACCTTTTATTTTTAAGCTCTTTGACAGCCCAGGCTGTAGTTTATTCACATTTGTATCTTCATGGCCAGATAAGCCAACAGCACATGTTGATTAAATGAATCATTTGACACCGTCTGCCAATCTCTGGGCAGTTCAAGTCAGATGTTTAAAGATCTGCTGTTTAAGAAATAAATACTTATGCCAGGCATGGTGGCACACTCATTTAATCCCAGCACTCAGGAGGCAGAGGCAGATGGATTTCTATGAGTTCGAGGACAGCCTTGTCTACAAAGTGACTCCAGGACACTTGGGGCTTTTACACAGAGAAAACTTGTCTCAAAAAAACTATTAAAAAAATAAAAGTAATTTGGAAGAAAGATTTGGTTTCTGTGTGAGCAGCTAGAAGATCAAAGTCAGAATCTTGTATTTAGTCCAAAGCTATATACCTCAAAGATCTTCCCAATCCCATGATGCAAAGCTGAACATGGGTAGCTCCAGCTGTAGACATGGCAGTAGAGTCTCTGCCATAAACTCCAGTCCATATACTAGTGGAGAATCTCCTTGGTTTTGCTTCAATGCCATGTTATTTCACCACAGCAAGGAGGATCCCTTAAACTACCTGATTGTAATATTAATCAGTGTACAATTATTGTTTCAGAATAATGTCTTAGCCAAGCTGTTGGTATCTGGCAGGAATTGGGGATGATGGCACCTAAGCTTTTAAGTAGCCTTTTGTCAGCGATTGTTATCTGAGATTTTATGGGGCTATTCCTTTGAATGTTTCTTAGCCCTTTTGGAGAGGGTGTGGCAAACCAGGAAGTCTCCTATGGCTGAGAAATGCTTAGGTGCTGGGTCTTTCAAGATACCCTATAGATCAGATAAGAAGCTTTGGTGTGAGGAAATCAACTTGTTAAAAGCCCTTTTGTAGAATCATAAAAAGAGTTTCTAAACTGAGTGTACTGGTGCAAACATGCCTTTAGTCTCAACACTCTGGGAAGCAGAGGCAGGGGGATCTCTGAGTTTGAGGCCAGCCTGGTCTACAGAGTGAGTTCCAGGACAGCCAGGGTTACACACAAAAACCCTGTCTCAGAAAACAAAAAACAAAAACCAACAGCAGCAGCAGCAGCAGCAGCAGCAGCAGCAGCAGCAGCAGCAACAACAACAACAAAGAACTTCTAGGAGGCTGATGGGGTTCAGTTCCACAGAGGCAGTTACCCTGTTTGCTAAGAAGCCTGAATTCATCCTGTGGTGGTTCTTTCTTCCACTGATCATCCGAGCAACCACCAACACTGACAAATTATTTTACAGCTTAAGGCACGAAGTATGTTCATGCATTTTATGTGTGAAATAAGAAACACAACTCAGTATGGTTTTTAAAGTGGGCTAGCTAATGCTGTTTAATGCTGCTGCAAAACACACAGAGGAATGAACTGTACAATAACAACATAGCAGTCTCACTGTCTATGCCTGGTTGAGTCCCTTGTATAGTTGTGTTGTTTTGTTAAGCCATCCTGTTAAACATTTAGAGACTTCGTGAGCTCAGTGATAGAGTGTGTTGCATGTATAAGGCCCTGGGCTCCATCCCCAACACTGCAAATAAATAAATACATTTGGAGATTTTACTTTCACTTTAATTTTTTTTTTTTGGTTTTTTCGAGACAGGGTTTCTCTGTGTAGCCCTGGCTGTCCTGGAACTCACTCTGTAGACCAGGCTAGCCTCGAACTCTCAAACTCAGAAATCTGCCTGCCTCTGCCTCCCAAGTGCTGGGATTAAAGGTGTGCACCACCACCGCCAGGCTAATATTTTTTCTTTTCTTTCTTTTTTCTTTTCTTTCTTTTTTTTTTTTTTTTAAAGACAAGGTCTCTTTACATAGCCATAGCTGTCCTGGAACTCACAGAGATCTACTTGCCTCTGCCTCTTGAGTGCTGAGATCAAAGGTATGCACCTGCACCACTATCCCTGGCTCCATTTTATTATTTATTTAGTTATTTAATTATTTGTTTATTTATTTTGGGTTTTCAAGACAGGATTTTTCAGTGTAGCCTCAGCTATCCTGGAATTCCCTCTGTAGTCTGCTTGTTCCTGTCTCCCAAATCCTGGGATTAAAGGAGTGAACCTCCATGCTCAGCCCATTTAAATTTTTTAAAATTTTAATTACATGCTCTTGTGTGTCCAAGTGGGAGCTATGCTCCTGTGAGTGCAGGTGTCCTTGGAGGCCAGAAAATGGCACCAGATCCCCTGGAGCAGTGCATGCTCTTACCACTGAGCCACCTTTCCAGCCCCATATTGCCCACTTCTATACTAGATGCTAACATTATCATTTAATAAAAA